TAAATTTTTTCCCCCTTCCAAAAACTGGAGCCGATCTCAGATGCCTGTCTGTGTGTCATCACACAGACAGGCCCCTCCCACGATAGTTTGATTGACAGTAGCGTTTCAGCACAGACTGGACTGGAGTCTCACCTTAGACCCGCCCTGAGTGAGCTGTCATCAGTCCGCCATTGTTTCAACGAAACAATCTTTGCAAATCGCCTTTCCTAATAATGTGCTAATTAGCAAGTTTCACAATGAATAAAGTAAAGTAAACAGTCTGGAAGAGAGGGGCGGGGTCAGCAGAGCTCATTAACATTTAAAGGAAAATGCTACAAAAACGGCTTGCTCTGAAAAGAGCTGTTTTTGACAGGGTAAAAAAGGTGTTTTTTTACACTACCATTGAGAAATTTTAACCAAACTATGTTACAGACTTTTCATTAAGACCCCAGAGAATCATATCAACTTGTGGAAATGGGCATGACCCCTTTAAAAGGAATAGTTCACCTCATGTTAAACCTATGCTAAATGCTAAACCTGTATGACTTTTGGGGGGAAAATACAAGAAAAAAGAACAAACAACCAAAATAAATGCATATTTTGAAGAAACTTCACGCTGCTCTAATCCACAGAATGACAGTTCATAGTGACTACAGCTATGAAGCTACGACGATTAACAAAATAATGCATGGTAGATGTGAATATTAACAGTGAACAATAACTTTAGAAGCTCATAGTACAAATATAGTGCACAAATCACATTCATTAATTCTATGGTGCTTTTTAATGCTTTTTTGGAGTTTAACAGACATGGTCACTACAAAGTGCTGCAGGGAAGATTTTTTGTAAGCCAACCTGAAAGTTAGCATCACTGTGGTTACCTCGACAAAAAGTCAGTAAGATCTTTCCACTGGCTTTTGGATTATTGCAGAAAATATGAAATGGGACAATACTGTATCTCGAGTACAGACCTAATTTCAGGCATTTAACCAATAACCTACTGACTTCAGGACGATGGAACTGGAAGTGTAAACGTAAAAGTTGTTTCCAGGTTTTAGGACTCATTCCTGCAGCACCCTAAGAGCTGTTGTTGTATGGAAAGAGGCGCATGAAAATTCTTCAGAAAAATTCTACTTTAGTGTTCCACAGGATATGTGAAGTCATAAAGGTTTAGAACGACGAGGTAAATGATGGCAGAATTTTTATTTTGGGATGAACTATGCATTTAAGTATTTATAGAAAGAACAGGAATCTATGAAAATTAATTTCAGTCAGCAGAGACTGAGATCATGTTAAATTATACAGTTTTCCTTTTAACAGGAAATGGTGCCACCTACAGTAAATTGACCAAATGTAGTATAAGAAACAGCGTTAGGTCATCAAGACATGATCCGATCTCATCCGATATCTCTCTCAGCTCTAAAGATTTGAACGTGTCAGCCAGGGAAACTCCTAGGAGATAAACACAAAGTCTCACTGAACAATAAAGAAACTCCATTGAAGTCAATCCTGTTTATCTCAAAATGCTTTTGTAACACTAGAAAGTTTCCATTCATCGTTGGGGAAGCCCTTTGAGTGTCAGTGTGACATAAACCGAGAGTTTCAATGTCCCAGGTTGACATGACACCCAATTCTTCAATATGTCTGCATGCGGTTGCCAGGATACACCCAGCACAACAAAGAGGGTCACAACTTTTAATTATGGGGGTCTCATAACGTTCAAGAATAGAAAGGTCAGTTATGTTTAATGTGTGTGTATGTGAGAGGGATAAAAAAAAATTGTGAGTGGTGAAATTTACGGTTACACGGGCCTTGTGATGTTATGAACTTTGTTAAAAAAAAGTTTGCATGTGTTTTTTGTTCATTATCATATTTGATAAATCAAGTGTTTATGGATCGTACAGTATTATATAGGAGAATATGGGGCCCATAGAGGGGAAAAACACCTACATTTTATTCAGTGGCTCAAACGGAACAAAAATATACAATTTGGAGTAGTTGCTGATAATTAAATTGCCCCAAAATAAGTTGAAATTGTGACAGCTTGTAAATCATTGAGATCATTATAGTATAGCAGACTGGATGTAAAAATGGATATAAATATCAGTTTCACACTACATTTCCCAATCATATGACTTAGATGATATTTAAATGCTTAGTTTTATTGTGAGGGCAAAACATATAATGCAGTGCAATACAACGATTACTAATAATATGATGCACAAATAAATGTTCATTAAAAGCCTAATGTTTCATATTTGATACTATATTTTAACATTCAGATTTGACTTTGAAAAAAAAAAATGTATGGATAATTAAGTAGACCTAAATTGCTTGCTTCATCCCAAAATAAAAAATATTAAAAATATTAAAATATTACCAACAAGTTATTCTTATATTTACTTCATTATAAAAATCAGTAAATATTGCACACCAAAAAGACACATGAACCACAACCTGAAGAGGGACATTTGAAAATGTATTTGCTTAAAAATGATATACTGTCAATCAGGAGATAGAAGGCATGTAGTAGATTGCATAAACCAAGGTTTTTTATCATGCTGACAATTTAGAGACCTTGGTTGCATATCAAATATGATTCAGTAGGCTTTATAGGGTTAAAATGAGAATATACAACTAAGTATTGCTTTATCTAAATTGTTAATGATATTGCAGCAGATTGAACTATAATGTAAGGCTGTGTGTGTGTACAGTACCTGTTGTTTGCGGTCTGAGGCTGGGTCTATAAGTACGTTGAGGAGGCTGGGTGTCTGTGTGTTTTTCAGACTCTCCTGTAGTGCACTGCAGAGTTCCTCTACCGTTCGGACCAGATACCCATGACCCCCGAACGCACTCATCACCTGCTCGTACCGTGCCTCTGGTAGCAGCGTCACCGGAGGAGCACTAAGACACACAGGTCAGTCTTATCTACAAGATTTGATACAGTGGGGAAAATATTTATTTAATCCCCTGTTTGCCCACTTACAAAAAATTGAAGGGTCTGTAATTTTTATGGTAGGCTTATTTTAACGTATAGAGACAGAATACCAACCAAAAAAATCCAGAAAAAAAACACATTATATAAAGGTTAGAAATGGATTTGCATTTCAGTGAGTGAAATAAGTATTTGATCCCCAAGCAAAACATGACTTAGGTCTTGATGGCAAGCACAGAGGTAAGACGTTTTTTGTAGTTGGTCACCAGGTTTGCACACATCTCAGGAGGGATTTTGATCCACTCTTCTTTACAGATCCTCTCTAAATCCTTAAAGGGGTCATATGATGTTGCTAAAAAGAACATTATTTTGTGTATTTGGTGTAATGAAATGTGTTTATGCAGTTTAAGGTTAAAAAAACACAACATATTTTACACATTAAAACACCCGCCTTTCTGAAACGTTCATCGGTCTGAAAAGCGAGGTGTGCTCTGATTGGCCAGCTATCCAGTGCGTTGTGATTGGCCGAATACATCAAGCGTGTGACGGAAATGTTACGCCCCTTACCATACTGTGATGCCGTCTCACGGAGCAACGAGACAACAACATTAAAACCCATTATAAACAAGGCATTTGTTGCATACAGTGGGGACATAATTACGGATTATAATGACTTATACGGTCTTATACTATACGTTGCGTTGCATCGCGCCACGTAAACATAAAACCATGTCTGCATTTGTGATCGGAGAAATGACAAACAACAAGCGCTACTCTACACTGCTCAAAACACGCTTTGAATCGTCAGTGGCAAATTCTTTAATTAAACATGAAAACGTACTTACAGTCTGTGAGTCAGAACAGCCGGCATTGTAGTCTACTCTACCAGGATCAGGAAACAGTCCTCCATAAAATGTGCTGCACACATCTGAATATTTGGGTTGAACTGTTCTGGAACAGTGTTGTAAATACAACTTAACCACTGATTTCTAGTCGTGTCCTCTTTTGGAAGGCCAAACAAAGTATTTTCGCTTTTGCAACGAAACACACAGCGTCTTCACAGCATGGCGGCGGCGGTGGCACCAACAATAAAGTTACGCCTTCTTTCTTTGCGTTAACATTTGGGCGGCGTTACGCAAATCTTCCTACATCGTGACATAGACATGTGGGGGCATGTTTGACCGAGGCGTTTAAGGAGGGTGTGGACTAGTCTTAACTTTTATAAAGAATATCTCTTTGGATTTGAGACTTTAGTCTTTGCAACTTTAGGGATCTTATCTATTCACAATCAGCTTGTAACACTCCAAAGAGAAAGGAAAACTTGAAACCACATCATATGACCCCTTTAAGGTTTCTTGGCTGTCGTTTGGCAGCTCGAAGTTTCAGCTCCCTCCACAGATTTTCTATAGCATTGAGGTCTGGAGACTGGCTAGGCCACTCCATGACCTTAATGTGCTTCTTCTTGAGCCACTCCTTTGTTGCCTTGGCGGTATGTTTTGGGTCATTGTAATCCTTGAAGACTTATCCATGACCCATCTTCAGTGTTCTGGCTGAGGGAAGGAGGTTCTTGTCCCAAATTTGACAGTACATGGCCCCGTCCATTTGCCCCTCAATGTGGTGAAGTCGTCCTGTACCCTTAGCAGAAAAACAGCCCCAAAGCATAATGTTTCCACCTCCGTGCTTGACTGTAGGGATGGTGTTCTTGGGGTCATAGTCAGCATTTCTCTCCCTCCAAACACGGCGAGTCGAGTTAATGCCAAAGAGCTCAATTTTGGTCTCATCTGACCACAGCACTTTCTCCCAAGCCTTCTCTGAATAATTTAGATGTTCATTGGCAAACATTAAACGGGACTGCACATGTACCTTCTTGAGCAGGGGGACCTTGCGGGCGCTGCAGGATTTCAGTCCATTGCGGCATAGTGTGGTACCAATGGTTTGCTTGGTGACTGTGGTCCCAACTACCTTGAGATCATTAACAAGCTCCTCTCCTGTGTAGTTCTGGGCTGATCCCTCACCTTTCTCATGATCATCCTTACCCCATGAGGCGAAATCTTGCACGGAGCTCCAGACCAAAGCCGATTGATGGTTATTTTGTATTTCTTACATTTCCGAATAATCTCACCAACAGTTGTCTCCTTCTCACCAAGATTATTGCTGATGGTCTTGTAGCCCATTCCAGCCTTGTGCACATCTACAGTCTTGTCTCTGACATCCTTTGACAGCTCTTTGGTCTTGCCCATGGTGGTGGGAGAGGTTGGAATGGAAGATACAGATTGTGTGGACAGGTGTCTTATACACCTAACGAGCTGGCATTAGGAGTAACTTCTTAAAGTGGCAGGACTAATCTGTGTTCCACATGGGCACATAACCAATCTGTGGGAGCCAGAATTCTTGCTGGTTGGTAGGGGATCAAATACTTATTTCACTCACTGAAATACAAATCAATTTCTAACCTTTATTAATGTTTTTTCTGGATTTTTTGGTCGGTATTCTGTCTCTATCCATTAAAATAAACCTACCATAAAAATTACAGACCCTTAATTTCTTTGTAAGTGGGAAAACTTACAAAATCAGCAGGGGATCAAATAAATATTTCCCCACTGTACTTGCTGGGTTCAATAGAATCAAACTTATTGACAGCAGTTTTGTCTCATGGAGCAATTTGTTGGGTTATCTTCATTCCATCTTAGTCCAAGATAAATTGTAGATAGGTAGTGTCACACACATTTCACTAGGCTGCCTGCAACCCTTAAAATAAAATCTGTAACACAAGATCAAATGAAAATCTGTTTTGGTCTCACGACAGAGAGGTTCGGAGGAGAACTGGCCCTCTGACTGAGCCTAGTTTCTCCCAAGGCTTTTTTCTCCATTTCTGTCACTGGATGGAGTTTTGTTTCCTTGCCACTCTCGCCTTTGGCTTGTTTAGTTGGGGACACTTAATTTTTGTCAATATTGTTGGCTTGATTCCAAAGACACTATTGGAAGAGAACTGAACTGAGCTGGACGATTATATCACTGACTGTTTACTATTGTCCTCTTTTAAGAGCTGCTCCACAGCAGAATTGAATTTTGTTTGCATTATTGACACAGTATTTTCCCGTTTAACAATGTAAAGCTGCTTTGACACAATCTGTATTGTATAAAGCGCTATATAAATAAAGGTGAAAAAAATAAGGGGGAAATAGCTTAATTCAGCTTAATTAAGTTAGATTTTTGGCCATTTGTAGTAAAACGTTTGGGCACCTAGAATGAACCCAGGTCTTTCCTTTCATACTCTAGACTCACATGGTGGTCATGTCTCCCATCTTTTCCATTTCTTTCCATGTCTCTGGATCCACTCCACTGTAGATGGCATTGTTGTTGATTACTATGATGATGATTGGCAGTTTATACCTATTCAGAAGTGCAGAATGGTTATAGTGGCACAAAGCAAAAAGAACCAGTTTAATATTATGCACACCGCACAAATGCCCCATAGGTGGAGCTGTAGGTGGATGTTTCATTTACCTGCATATGGTCTCCACCTCCATGCCAGAGAAACCGAAGGCGCTGTCTCCCTCTATACACACCACTCTCTGAGCACTCTTCTGCGTCTGCTCTAAAACTGCTGCTGCAATGGCAAATCCTGGACCCACCCCCATAGTGCCAAAAGTACCAGCATCTAATCTGTATAGGACATTCAGGTTTCTGCTCTGGACAACATCACACAAGTAGAACTCAACGTTTAACAGAATTTTCTAGTTTTAGCATCTGAACTATGGTACTGAACATTCTTTAAATGTCTCTCACCTGTGTCGTGGGAGGTAATTGAGCAGCATGGTGCGGCCAATGTCCATAGTATTCGCTCTCTCACTCACTATGGTGCAGTCTTTGGGCAGGAGCTCAGAAATGTGGTGGAACGCTGTGTAGTAGTTCATGGGCAGAGTGGACTGGAGAGCAAGACTCTGTGGGAAACAATAATAATGGTTTATTTAGTACCATAAATGTTAAACACGCAGTTCATGTGTTTATTGAAAACAGCTAATGCTATTTTATTATATCAAGTAAGCTAATGACACACAAGCTCACCTTTGATATCTGAGCATTGGCAGTCATTTTCTCCTTCAGTGTCGACCACCATTCTGAATCAGAAGGAAATCTCCAGGACTCTGATCTTACAGTTTCCAACAGCTTCAAACAGTGTAGAAAACATAAATGAGGGGTCATTTCATATAAAACATAATTCTCCATAACTTTTAGACGATTTATTTACATTAAACCATAAAAATCAGCTCATAAAAGAGATGAAAATGAAAATTCTGTCATTACCCTCACGTTGTTCCAAACCTTTATGAATCTCTTTCAGCTGTTGATCACAAATGAAGACATTCTGAAGAATGTTGGTAACCAAACTGTTGACGGTACCCATTGACTTCCACAGTATGAGAAACGTCACTTGTGTGATAGTTCATTTATGTATTTTTGGAGCCTAGGTGTACCGACTTTTTTCTGTTTTCATTATCAATATCATTTTTGTCGATCACCCCGTTTTTAAAGTTTTTTCAGTGATACTCATGTTTTTGCTTCCATAGTATGGAAAAAAATTACTATGAAGGTCAACTGTCTGGTTACCAACATTCTTCAAAATACCTTCTTTTGTGTTCAGAAGAAGAAAGAAATTCATACAGGTTTGGAACAAGTGGAGGGTGAGTAAATGATGACAGAATTTAACATACATACATTCAGTATTCTGTAATAGGGTCAGAGGTTAGCCAATCAAAACAACGGTCATTAACATAGAAAAGCCTTATAGATACAGCAAAATGTAGATGTAAATTTAAAATGAATGTAAAACTAAATGATACATTTTGGCAAACTACACTTGATAACATTATAAGAGCAACTAAAAGAGAACAAATGCTACAAAACATACTGGATTTCAATAGGTTAGGAGTCTCTCACAGAGTCCATCGAACATACAGAATATCATGATGCAGATAAAGTGTGTAAAACAAAACAAAAAAAACATTGTGTTTTATGTAAGATGATGACTGAGGATATACTGTAGTTTACCTGTCTGACCACAGCTCGTATGTCTCCGAGAAGAGCAGATGCGGCTCTCACATTATTACTCAACTCTTCAGCACACAGATCCACCTGAACAAATTTACACAACATGTAAATAGAAAAAATATAAAAAATAAAATCTAATTTAAAAGATAATAATAAACAGCATCTTAAATGACATTGCATAGTATATAGTATATTCGGCCTACTTTAGAAACATGCTTTTTTAAGACTTCATTAAATTTTATCAAACAAATTATTTATTCACTTTTTTACAAATATTTTGAATTAGCTTCTATTTTTTACATTTTCAGTTTTCATTTAAATTTAATCTTTTTTTAAATAAAACTATTTCTATTTAGATTTAATTTATTTTTAATTTAATTTATTTTCATTTAAGCTTTTTTATCTAATATTTATATATTTGATTAATTCTACTATTTTATTTTATTTCAGATTTATTTCAATAATAAATATGTTTTTTTAGTGAACAAAAACAACAGTGAAACAATTTGTCTTTGAACATAACTAACATATCACAGAGCTCAGCCTTTACTTAACATCACAGTAAACGGCCAAATTTGTACATCTCTTTAAACCAGATGAGTCGTCTATATTTTTTCCTCTAAGAGAAACAATTCAAATTTTCATTTTAAATGTATAAATATGCTAAAAATGTACATTTCTAATATGTATATCTGCTAAAAGATTAGCATTTTTTTGTCAACTACCTTACACATGGCCTCAAAGCTGACATACATGGCCTATGAGCCACAAAACTCAAATTTTGAATTCATAGGGACTTAAAAGAGATTAAATATTTACTTTTTCAACTACGGCTGGTATCATCTCAAGGCTGATTGGTCGAGCAGAAAACTTGCTATACAGACGACAAGCTTCAACCTGGTGAGGAAAAAGTAAAATGATGAACAAGAGGTGAGAAACAAGAAAGTGGTTAAGAGACACTAGAAAAATAAATACAAATTACTGTTGGTGTTTTCGTTGCTTGAATGATTAAAAATACATGTTTGAATCTTAATTTTGAATTTAAATTTTTTTGAATGTATTGCTTTAAAGGATCGATTTATTCAAAGCCAAACATTTCTTATTAACCCTACCTGAGGGAACTCCTGAAATGCTCCTGTGGTTTCTTGGTTCCTATCAGATGAGCCACCAATGACAATGACAGGCCTGTGAATTTAAACAAGAGAAGAAAAGTACATTTGAGGTCAATTCCATTTGATCTTAAGTGAATTCAGCAGTGTAGAGCTACCAGCAGTTCATGTTAGCATTGGCTATTCCTCCAAGCGCATGAATCAGCCCAGGTCCAGACACAACCAGGCACACAGCTGGCCTGGCAAAAGAAATGTAACTTCAGCACAAAAGTAGCACAAAAGTAATACTGAGAAACTAACTGACATATTCGTACCATCCTGTCAAATACCCAATAGCAGATGCAGCATAGCAGGCCTGTTAGGAGAGAGAAGAAAACACACCCAGACAGTCTTCAGTGTAATGAAACGGGGCCAAATTTTTAAATAAAAGTGGAAAGTGAGCCTATCTTACTGCTTGTTCATTGCCCATGCCAACATACTTGATGCCAGCTGCTTGGGCGGCCATGGCCACCTCGATGATAGGCACGCCAACAATGCCAAACATGTACTCCACATTCTGCACATGGAGTGGAATATAAGTAAAGACATAGATAATAGACATACTAATATGTTGAATATTAATTTTAATATTGGTGTAAATCTAATATTTACACCAAGGGTTTTCAAACTGGGGCCTGGGGACGCCCAGAAAAAAAGAGAGTGCTTGGGGGTCCATGTGAATTTTTAGAGAAAAACTGTGTAAAAATACATAAATAATAAAATTAAACTAACCAAATATAATTGATGAAAATAAAAAAAAAGTTGATGAAAAAGAAAAAAAAAAGAAAAAAATATATATATATGAAAACAAATTAATAAATAATTTCATAATATAGTAAATAAATCAATACAATGATTAAAAATAACACTTTTGAATGAAATGATTAATAATTCATTTTAAATAAATTGATTAAAACATTTTGATTTAAATTAATAAACACATCTAACAGTACGACACTATTGTAAATACATTTTTTTTATGATGTTAAAGAAACAAAATATTTTCCAAATAATTACACATATTTATGTAATATTCATTTTTAACTGTATTAATGTCCCTCGCATGAAGATGATCACATTTAGGAGTCCTTAGCATCTGAAAGCTTGAAAACCCATGGTTCTGGTTACATATTTAGTCAAGTTGTTACAGATATTTATTTTTGTTCATTTTTGAACGACATTTTTTGACAGCTCTGGTGCGCATGCGCAGCACCTTTGCCACACTGTCCAAGTTCAATAGTACAGCAGGCGATGTGCTCATCATGTTGCAAAGAATTCAATAGTAAGACCGTAAATACACGTTTATTCTTGATTAAGTGCTAGAGGACAAAGGGCTTTGAAAGGCTTTGCAAGACTATTTCAAAATATGCAGGAGAAACTTTGAGAACCCAGAAAAGAAGCATACGGCAGCACAACACAGACCTGAGATTTGAACGCCTCAGCGATCAGCTGAGCTCCAGTCACTTCAGCCATAATCATTTCACTCATATACACACGTATCAGGCTGCTCTTCTGTCCTCCTGCTGCTCTTAGAAGAATAAATCTATTATTCCTCCTTTACAGGTTTATGTTTGAGAAAAGGAAAGAAAAGAAAAACACATGGTTATATTTCTCCCATTTAGTGTTTCTCTTCATTGGTATACTATATACTTTAGCTTTCTTTCAAATTTCGCTCATTAATATGAAATTTCCGTCGCTGGTTTATTGATAACATGCTGGTCAAACAAGGTCAGTTTATTCCTGAGAGTATTAGAAACCATGGTTTTGGATATAGTGTTCATTACTTTTATTTTAATCTAATTTATTTGAATATTTATACAGAAATCATCAGCATTTAATAAATATAAATATATTTTTCAATCATTTATTTTAAGAACTTTGTTTGTGAGAATCTACACTCCTGAACAAAATCTAATTTTCATTCCACTGTTTTCATTCTCATATTTATTTAGTAAACAAAGAAACAACTGGAAATATTTAAACTATAGAGGAATGATACTTCGAAGTGACCAATATATTACTTACACAAACACAATATCTATGGCATGCTTTGCTTTTATTAACTAGTTTTGAACTTCGTAAAACATTTATAACAGAAAATATTATGAATCATTTACAACTAAACATCATAAATGTCATTGTGAAGATAGAGGTCGTACTTGTCATAGCCAGTATTTTCTATAGAATGTATTTAAACTTATATTTCTTGTTGCGTTATTTTGTGTATAAATGGGGAGTATATTGTGCAAGAATGTATATGTATATGAAAAATTAAAAGATTTTGGAAATGTATTTTGTTTCTCATATGTATTTTGGATTTTTAATCTTTAAAGCCGCAATTTGGTAAGAAACGATTAGTTATCATTCATCTTTTAAGTAAAAGTGTCTATTTAGAAGCATATTGGCTCATCTATGGTAGTAATATATGGCACCTCTAATGGTTCTGTATGACACAATTTGACAAATGTGCTATAAAGCTTATCTTTAAGAATATGTGCCATATAGTACCAAAGGAGGTGTCCCTATGATTAAAAGCCAAAGAACCACTGTTGAACACCATTTTTGAGATAAAGTGCTATATGGCACCTCTTATGGTTCTACATAGCACCATTTGACAAAGGTGCTACATAGCACCTGTAAAAATAGGTGCTAAATAGCACTACAAGTGGTTCCCCTATGATTACGAGCCAAATAACCGCTTTTACACTCTCAAAAATGCTGGGTTGTTTCAACCCAACTTTGGGTCAAATATGGACTAACCCAGGGGTGCCCAAACTCGATCCTGGAGGGACTCGGTCCTGCAGAGTTTAGCTCCAACTTTCCTCAACACACCTGCTGGTAAGTTTCTAGTATGCCTATAAGTGCTTGATTAGCTGGTTCAGGTGTGTTTAATTGGGGTTGGAGCTAAACTCTGCAGGACACCGGCCCTCCAGGATCGAGTTTGGGCACCCCTGGGTTAGTCCATATTTGACCCAAAGTTGGGTTGAAACAACCCAGCATTTTTTAGAGTGTAGTGCTATATAGCACCATTTTTTTTTAGAGTGTATATTGCTGTTTTTGTTCTCCTTCACGTTTGTTTTCCTATGCATCGCTTGAACTTCACTCTCTCTGCCTTCAAGATATGACTGCAGGATCCGGAAAAACTGTGAAAATATTGGACAGGTAAATGACAACATGAATTTAAAGTGCACGTTATTTAAATATTTGCAATCTAAGAATAAAAGGAATAAATTAAGCTAAAAAAAGTTACAAATACACAGTGTCTGAGTAAATAATACACATATAATATCAAGATTCGATTCTGTCTCTGTGATCTTGTCTTTATCCTTTTGTGCCAAATTTGCACTTTTATCACAAACGTTTTTGAGACTCCAACAACATTTTAAGGCACCGGTGAATAGGGTGAAAAACTGAACAAAAAGATATCATCATACTTCCCCAGTCGATTGATTACACAACAAACAGGTTTTCTAAAGTGTTATGTTTTGCCATTATCTAATTAAATATGCACTAATTTGCATACATTTCCAGAATAGAAATCTGAATGCAGGATAAAGCCAGGTTCAAAACATTATTTTTTTTTGACATATTATAGTTAGATGTTTTTTTTTTACAAAGGGCATTTTACATATCTCTTTTTATCACTCCATAAATCAGAAAATACTGTCAACAGCCATGTTTTTAGGAATAAAATGTTGTATAAGGCAAATGATAAATGAACCTTCATGAACCCTTTGAAATGACAAACAACTGAAGAACACATTAAAATGTCAAATACTGGTAGGAGAAATTAAGACACCATTGGTAAGATGTAACTAGGAAAAGATTTATTACATAACTCTAATAAAAAAAAATATATAGGTCACTTATCTGGCTTTTTTTTTTAAAGACAAAAAAAAAAGCTACAAAAATGGAACAAAGGTTCACTACTCAATGTAGTTTTTATATACAGGGTTCCTCATTCTATTTCTGTTATTTCATAATATATCAATCATTTGGTGTGCCCATCCTTTGCATTTAAAACAAGGTGCAGGTACAGTTGCACAGTTTTTCAGGTAGCTTTGCAGAAAAGTTTCTTGAAGCATCTTGGAGACGTTGCCCACTATTGAAATTTATTTAAGATAGGTCTGGAAGTAACAATTCCATAATATTTCCAGGTTTTCTTAAACATTTGATAATAAGAAAAATACGATTCAAAGTACTGAACTCATTTATTTAATCAACCATAAAATATACAGGAATCTCTGGTTGCGAGTAGGGGGCAGCAGTGGCATTTGACTGCACCAAACACTCTCCTTTCCCCCAGGAAAGGAAACAGACACCTGCTGACCCCCTCAATCGGGAAGCTGTATTGAACAGATTTCCAGTTTCAATCATTCCAAAATCAAAGCTTGAAAAGAGACAAACACAGGTTTCTGACAAGCCATCACAGAGGATCAAGTGGTTTCATTTGCTAAATCAAAGCGAGCATACCTGCCCAAAAAAAGTCATGTTAATAAGAGCCAGAAAAAATATAATATATATTTATATTCATATATCAACATACAAAGAGATCAAATGCTGTTCTACCATTGGTTTACACAGTGTTCCTCATTCTGGAGCAAAGCATGCTGGGAGCCGTTTGCCTCTTCACTTTCAGTGCTTTCACAGACGTAGTGTTGAACTTCTTGTGCATCATTGATTTGTTCTCTCGAGCTGCCCCTTCCCTCCATGCAGTAATTTATGAAGGCACAAAATGATGATGAAATATGGAAAGTAAAAATAAATACCATAGATAAAAAGAATAATTTATCCTAAAACTGAAGATGGAGACAGTTCGCTTTTTAACTTCACTCATGCTTGTGGCCAAAAGCATTACAATGCTGATGTTCATGTCCTCAATTTTGCCCTTGGGTTTTGAAACTACTGAAACTCAGATTTTTTTTATATCCCCCTCAGAGGGACAGAGAACTTGACAGATATTAAAATCGTATTTTAAAAATAAATCATTTCTTTCCCCAAGTTGTAAATGATCGATTCAGAAGTGCACACTGACTTGAAACTGTTGAAAGCATCACAAATATCCCAGTCTTTCACGAGGGACTGATTCAAATCCTCCCTCTCAATCTGAAGAGAGCTGAATCTCGAATCCCAGGTGCACTACGACAGTGTCAAACTGCTTGTGCAAAAGTTGGTCCCAGGCCGCTGATTCTTGTCTTTTATTGCCATGTCGGGAGGTCCGCCCACTTATCTGTTACCATTTGTGTAGGGCAAGATGTGCTGGCAGAGGTTGAGCTGATGGATAAGGGGGCTGGGAGGGCCAGTCTGCTGCACCTCATACAGGTGTGTTTGTGTGTGTGCGTTGTGTGTAGAGACTGTTAAGGCTCTGCAGAGTGGTCGGCCGCTGGGTAATTAAGACAAGATGTGCGCCTCTCCTTTCCTCCTCCTCAGTAAGTCTCTGAGTCGGAGTCGTTTAGCTCGTCATCCTTGTAGAAGCCGTCGTGGCGACCGATGCTATTGAAACTGCAATAGGAGCTGTGTTCGGAGCGGAGCATGGGCAGACTGTCGAACGTGACACTTTTCGTGGGGCTGGTGTAGTGATTGATGGCACTGAACGTGAGGCTAGGCACCGCACCTCCGCCGGGAGACACTGGCATCATGGTGGCCAGGATTAGCGCCAGGCAATCTGCCACATCTTTGTTAGGAGCACAAGCAAGTGCCGGAGTGTAGCCTTTTTCAAAGAAATGAGAGAAGACCCGTCAGGCCAGTTTTACAATGGGGGACAATATAATATAAGCATGTTGCAGTAATAGAAAAACTGATACTGATAAGATAATTATTTTCAAAGACAACCTAAACAGAAGACAACAAAAGTAATAAAAACCATAATAAAAATATTACAAATTGGGAGATCAATGTTTTGTTTTACTTATTCGTAAACCTTGTTACCAAAATATCATGATTTCATGGTTTCAAAATTTCCAAGATTTCCTAAATTCCATTTGTTTGTTTATTACCGGTAAATAAAAAGAACGTTTATAAAATTCACAGAAAAAAAAAAATTAAATTGCACATAAACAGTACCACTCTACAGTTTGAGGTAAGATTTTTTGAAAGTTGTCTCATTCTTACCAATGCTTAATTTATTTGATCAAAAATACAATAAATATTATTAAAATTTAAAATGAATGTTTCCTATTTTAATATATAAAATGTAATTTATTTCTGTAATGACAAAGCTGAATTTTTAGCAGCCATTACTCCGGTCTTCCGTGTCACATGATCATTCTGATATACTGATTTGATGCTCAAGAACAACTAAATAGTTGTGCTGCGTAAGATTTTTGTGGAAACTGACACATTTTTCAGGACTTTAAGAATAGGAAATAAAATTGCATTTATAGCATTGTCATTATTGTCACTTCTGATTAATTTATTGTATCCTTGCTGAATAAAATACATTTCATACAAAAAAAAAATCTTGCTGGCCACAAACATTTGAAAAACAATGTGCGTGTGTATATATATATATATACACAC